GCGATTGAGAAGTCTTTTGTCTGTCTTTTGTGAAGCCCATCACCACTTCTGAGTGCTAACTCCAGTCCACGCTATTGTGTCAGACACCATACACGTGTGTTGACAACAATGTAGACGAAAGTCCAATAGGTCCAAGCCTTTTTTTTTTTACAGGAGTCAATAAGTAATATCAAGAAAAACCTGCCTGAATACTGAACAGAAGCTCCCAAAAATGTACAGCAACGTACAAAAACATGTACAAAAACAAAACTATAAAATATCCATCAATACGGTGCACACACAGGTTGCCACTAATGATTCTTTTCCTAATTGATTAATATGCCAGGTATTTTCTCGATTACGCGCTTAATCACTCGGTCTATTAATTGTCCGTAAAAAAGACAACACAATGATGTTATTAACCTGCTTTTGTCCAATCAGTCCAAACCCCAAACAGATTCAGTTTATTATGGTGTGAAACAGAGAAAGGAAGCAAATCCTCACATTTAAGAAGCTGCAGCGAAAGGAAAGATTTTTTTCTTTTTTTCTTTAGAAATTACTCATACTAATTAATCAAAATAGTTGCAGATTGGTTTTCTGTATATTGATGATACAACAACGAGAGGGCTCACCATCACATTAACAATATATGCAATAAATGAACAAACATCAGCACACATGAATAACCCGGTGTACTAGAATCAATAAGTGCAAATGAAAGGCAAGTTTCTTAACAAATCCTCTTATCTTATGCATTCAAAACTAGTTCTTGATACCAGACCCCATCACATCAGTGAGATATGACAGGCAATGGGAGTGATTGATTTTTTTTTTTTGAGTTTGAGTTCAGGTCCATTTTTAGAGGTGGGAAAGAGCTGTGTTGTTGAGTGGATCTGGTTTCAACAAACATCCGTGAACTATTAATAAATCATGGCTGCTCTACGCAGTGCGATGCTGTTGGCGTCACACCATGTTTGTGTGTCTGGGGTCTCGTGTGCGTACATGCGTAAATCTTACTATGAGCCATAACATTATATTTAAACAAGGCCTCTAAACCTTTTCACACTTGAAACAACTTTGTCTATCTCTTGTGTTTTGCAGCCACAAAAACCACCTCCAGTACTTCTTGTGCTCCTGTTGTTGCTTCCCTGTCATATAAGGAAAGCTTCCAAAAACACCCTTAATTTGCATGAAACCTTGACTAAAAATGGAAACCCAAGCCTGTGAAATTGTAGACCTAACCCTAATTAATCATTCTGCTGTTTTCTAACATTTTAACAACACTAACCAAAACTAAACACGGTGCATCAAAACCACTTAAACCTCACCATTCTTCAATTTGCGGTGGAGCCTCTGGGGTATTACTCAAGAGGTTGCGGTTTGAGATTTTAACAAAAACCAACTCCTAGAAGGAAGAACACATTGCAGTCAGGCAGAGACACACCTACGGGGGGGAGAGAGAGACAAGAATAAGCTATGGGCTGAAAGAAGACAAGCGGCAGAAGGGGAAAGATTTAAACAGAGAGGAAAGAGAGGTTAAAGAGAGAAGGTGGAGGTTGTAGAAGTGGTGATTTGTGACCCACAGGAAACAGGCAGAGGACTCATTTTCCCCGGGCTCTGAGAGACCATAACAGGCCCAGGCGCTGTGTGTTTCCTCTTGATAACGCTTAGCACGATCATGTATACTCCAGTGACTCACATTGCACTAGAATCCGACTAATGCGGCTTTTTGGGGGCCAAAACTGGTAATTTTTGCGCAAAGCTGCAACTGTTTCTTCCATTATCCTTTTAAGTTTGACTTAAGTTTGACTATTGTCATACCAAACATGGTGAAGAATTACAAATGTTTAGTGTCTCCCCTGATAATTGTACTCTTGGCGAAGTGGAAAAGCCTTACAAGTGTCTCATTTTCAGTTCTATACAGCACATGTAAACACACGGACGTGCACTGGAAATGGAAGAGAGAAGAGAAAAGGAGGGTTAAAAACGTAGAAAGTCCTAAAGACGTAAGAGAGATAGAGAATGTGTTTGTATGATGTGTTCTCCTTTTTGTCTTCTTGCTTTCTTCGCTTTTTTTTTTTAATACATTATGGATTTACAGCCCCTGTTTTGAATTCAGTTATAGTGATGAGGATCAAAAACAGCTAGAAAGTTTGAGATAAAAGACTAAAATGCCCTTGTTCAGTCCGAATCCCACAGTGGTACAGACAATAGCTTCATCACACACCCCTCTGCCAAACACTCGCCTTTTTATCAGCTTACACACAGGATAAATCTTGCCGATTAGTGGACACGTTTGACACCTGATAAATGCAGTTTTGAGTGGGGTTTTTTGCGAGGGTGTTTGGGGCTATTCCTCCATTTGTTGCAGATAACAAAAAAAGTCTTCCAGGGGAATTTTTTGTGAAAAATGTATCACACGTAAACGTAGTCTGAAAGAGCTGCTGTTCACAGACTGCAAATTTCTTCACTCAGCCCGGAGGATGATAAAACCTTGACGCCGAGAGATTGAGAGCCGCGTATTAGCTTTGAAGTTAATTTGACAAGTGCACGTATGCCTCAACTATAAGCAGTATCACCTGTGAAGAAAATATCTGCTCTAATGTGCTGTCGCCTCGGAGGCAGGGAGTTGTGTGTGTGTGTGTGTGTGTGTGTGAGAAAGTGTGTTAAAGGGAGTGGACTTTGCTGGTGAGTAAGTGTGTGTGTGTGGGTTGAAACATCATTACCTAGGGATCTAGGTACAAGGCCAGACATCATTAGGCTTTAAGGCGAGAAAGTCTCCACGGCACCAGTTCTGCAGTCTGCCTGACCCAGCAGACACGACAGGCAGGCATGGTGTTTAAGATCATTTATTTGGCTTTGCATGTATGCCTGCGCGCGTGTGTGTTTGTGTGTGTGTTTGTGTGTGTGTTTACGTGCATGTTATTTATTTATTTTGGCTGGTAATATGCCTGAGCCTTCATTATAGCGGGAGCCATAACTTTGATAAATCACTTGGGCTCGGGGCCCTCACTGCTTTCACAGTATTAGAAAACTAATTGAAATTCTCTTCCGCCCCCTTCTCTCTCTCTCTCTCTC